AAGTGGAGGGTGAGGATTCTCACACTCTAAGGGGCTCCTGAACCTTGGGAAACTACCTGGCATTAGTTTACGCAGCAGACGTGTTGAGCAATTGTTTAGGCTGGGAACCACAGCCCCGGCAGACCACACCGGGGTAGCCAAACCTTCAGGATTGCCAAAGGATCCGCGAAGCTGATCCCAGACACATTTCCCAAGCCCCTGCCAGAGCCGAGGTCACCGGGTACAGAGGGGAGACGGGCACGGCGCCGCCTTTGGCGCGGGGACAGGAGGGGAAGGGCGCAGGGCACTCTCTGGGGATCACACGCTTCCGGATTCCCGCAGTGCCTGTCTGGCATTCTTCGGGCCTGGGAACATCTGAGCTTCTGTTCCTCGCCCAGACGTCGGGGACACGCAGGGGCACAGTCCAGCTGGTGCGAGAGACAGCACGGAGCAAATGGCAGATTCATGAGGGGGGAAAAGTGGAGCAGAGGAAGCAGGGAAGAAGGCCCTGTTTGTCTCGAACCAGAAGCTTCCAGAGCACGGGGCCTGCACAGGACCCCTTGCCTTTCAGCCTAGAGCTTGCTCCTAGCCAGGCGCCGTGCTAAGTCGCCTCTCGGGTCCGGTCCTCCCCACCGCCCTCTCAGGGCTCGACAGGGGAACTGAGGGGCAGAGTCATTCGTTCACGTTCAGCTGCGGTCACGCAGGTGGCGGCGGGGGTGGGCAAGGGTGCGACCTCAGTTTGGGGCAGGCAGAACTCAATGTTTGGGGGGTGAACCAAGCACAAGGGAGCCCCATGGAAGGGAAACCCAGCGGCCGGCCCGCTGCAATCGCTGTGTGCCCAGAGGCTTGGGCCGGGCCTGGCACAACTGCCAAGTCTCTCTGGGCTAGGCGCGGTGCCCTCTCGGGCCCAGCCCAGGGCCGGTCAGAGTGGGCCTGACCTTTGCCCCCCATCCAACTCCCTCTCCAGCCGCCCTCAAGGCCAGGGCCCAGCCTGGCCACCGGAGAGTCTCAGGGGGACGTCGCTCATGGCATTGACAACAGTGGAACAGTGGGACTCACCCTTCGGGAGAAAGACGGAACATGTCTGCAGAGGGTTCTGGTCTGTGAAACCAGCTTGAACCACAACAGTTCTTTCGGTTTGGTTTGGTTTGGTTTGGTTAGGGGGCCACACCCAGTGATGCTCAGGGTTTACTCCTGGCTCTGCACTCAGGAATTAGCCCTGGTGGGCTTGGGGGCCCCTATGGGAGGCCGGGGACCGACCCCGGTTCAGCCGCATGCAAAGCGAGCACCCACCCCACTGGACCATCTCTTCGGCCCCAAACAGTTCCTTCTGGAAGTGTTTCCAGCGTGAGCTGCACATCCGAAATCTCTCAGATCTGACTTGGGCTCTGCCCGGGGTGTCAGTCGCATCGCTGGCGGCTGAGGGGCACCCACGGGCGCTGGCGCAGGGCGGCGAGCAGGATCCCGGCTCAGCTCTCGCTTTTATCCACAATGTGGTTTGGTCCCTGCCCGGGCCTCAGTTTACCCACCCGTCAGAAGCCAGGAGTGGGCTGTGATGGGTTTCAGGCGTTTCCTTCTGCCCACCCACCTTCTCTCCACCTTGGTCCCCAAGGCTTGTCCTCTCCGGGGACCCATCCCAGACTGGACAGAGGGTCCAGCGGGAGATCGCCCCACAGGAAAGCTTGACCTGTGGCAGCTGTCTGGGAGCCCAGCACCTGCCTCAGCCCCCAGACCCGACACAGCCACGACCCCCGGAGACTCCCACGCATAGAGGCTCAGGGCGGATACGGCCACATCTGCCTCCGGGTACCTTGTTATATGAAGAGGGTGACCGGCAGACAGAGAAAGGCGGGGAGAACGGTCAGCAGGGGCCGGGGAATGACCGAAGGGGATTTGCATGTTTCGGGAGGGGTCACTCCAGAGTGGGGCACCATGGGGCTGGAGGGATAGCACAGCGGGGAGGGCGTTTGCCTTGCACGCGGCCGACCCAGGTTCGATTCCCAGTATCCCATAGGGTCCCCCGAGCACTGCCAGGAGTAATTCCTGAGCGCAGAGCCAGGAGGAACCCCTGAGCATTGCCGGGTGTCACCCAAAAAGAAAACAAAAACAAAACAAAACAAGAGTGGGGCGCCAGGCGGCTGTGCCCCAGACCCAATCCACAAACCAGCGGTGGGGGACAGTTGGGTTATAGGACAGCCAGGGAGTCCCGCCTCCTGGGATCACCAAGACAGTGGAAATGGGGGGCGGGTATCCCAGTGCCTGGAGCCACCGGGCTGTGGGACAGAGGGGACACGGGTTGGGGAGGGGCTGCTCCCCGCTGGTGACCCCCGTTGTCATCGCTTCCCTGCCCCTCCGCCCCCAGCCCCCAGTTCAGCTGTTCCCCTCCTCAGAAGTGAGGTTTCAGGAAGGAAGATCCAGATGTGGGGGGGGCATCTGGGTGGGGTGGCCAGAGCCTGGGGCAGAGGCTGGGGGGGGGGGGGAGGAAGCGAAGGAGGCTGGGGGCAGGATGGCCGCCCACACCCCTCCCTCTCGCTCCCCCGCCGGAAGGTGCTCAACTTGGACCTCACCGCTCAGCCCTGCTGGCTGGCTGGGGGTCCCCCCCCAATGTTTGCATGAGGGGAAGAAACCCGGAGAGAGGCTGCTGCCCTTCAAAACAAGGGCTCTTAGTGGTGTTTAGATTAAGAAGAAGAAAAAAAAACAGACAAAATAAAGAACTCGAAGTGCCAAGTCCGAAGCTGTGAACCGGGCGGCTGACAGCCCAGGACCACAGCAGGACGCGGGAAATGACTCAGCTGCGGGCTGAGTCTGAAGGTGGGAACTGAGGGAGGGGTCCGACGCCTGCGGGGCCTGTGGCTGGGGGGGTGGGCAGGTTTGGGGGCAGCGGCCCCTCACCTGGTGTCCGCTGCTGGCTGCTGGCAGGCCCTTGGGTGCTGCAGGGGCCCTTTCCACCCCGCCTGACGCCCCCACCTCCCCCCCCAGCCTAGGCTCGAGTGGCTGCTAACATAGCAGAACTGTTGTGGGATTTGGGGGTCCCCCAAGTCGAGGAAGGGCTGCAGCCGGTCGAGAGGGGGAGACTGTCGGAGGGGAGCAGCCCCCCACGCCAAGGCCGTGCCCGCAGCCAGCTCCGCCCTGGGCCCAGCGGGAGGTGGGGGGGGGACCCTGGCCGGGGTGGACCTTCCCTTCCTTCCCCAAGGGCGCAGACCCAGCCCGGGCAGAGCAGAGGCAGGGGGCAGTTGTCGGGAGGCCCTGCCCCGTGGCCAGACGCCTGTGGACACTCACATTCATTTCTCAATCCCGTGACCTGTAGCCGGGTTGGGAAATGCAGCTGAACCCGCACTGCCTGGGACCTCGGGGAGTCCCCGGCTGCACCGGGCCAGGCCTGGGCCTCCTCCCCCTTGTCCCGGGTGCCCAGTTCCTCCCCACCAGGCCGCCCTGCCTCAAAGGGCTCCACCACATCCAGGCTCAGTTCCATTGAATTCCTTCTGGCCCTTGGGCCTCTCTGAGAACGTCACCTGGATTTCTGGGTAGCACAGATCGTCTCCCGGGTGACCCTATGAATGCCAGGAGGGTGGGGCTTTGTACATCCCCCCCGCCCCGCCCAGCAAAGGTTCTGTATCTAGGAGTTATGAAACGTCACCTCCTCCAGGAGGGCTTCCCTGGTCACCAGCCTGGCCTGTCCGTCATCAGGATCCTACCCAGTGGCCCCAGTCACTCCAGGCACGCATCCCCACGTCCAGGGCCTCTCCGAGGAGGGGGCTTGCTTCCGTCCCTCCCCTGCGTCCACTCCAAGCTCAGAGGCTGAAGGAGACCAGGCCCACAACCTCACAAAGGAACGTTGTCCCCGAGTGAGGGACACTCCCTGCCCGCCTGCCTCCTCCGACCCCCATGCAAGCCGGCCCAGCAGAAGGGGTCCCCCCCCCAGCACCCCGCATCCGGGAGAGTGAGCCCATTCCACGGGCCTGTGGAGGGAGGTCTTGGTGGAGGGGCTGGGACCACCGGAGCCTTGCTCAAGGGGCGTCAGACCTGCAAGCGCAAGGGCAGGGGGCCTGGGTCTGGGGTCGTGCAGGACGGGTGACTTGGGTTCAGCTGCCGCCCACCCGGAGGGCACCCGCAATTGCCTCTCACCCGAGAAGGGCCAGGGTAGTTCCTCCCTCCCCGCACCTGCCCAACTAGGGGTCCAGGTGCAGACCCTCCCTGGCCCTCCATCTGGAGACGCAAGAGAAGAAACAGTTTCTGGAATGCTCCGGGGTCTGTCTGCTGCTCTGCAGAGACCCCACAGACTGGCCGTGACCGTGGCTGTGATCTTGGCTGTGCCGTGGGCCCGTCCCGGCCGGCTCAGCGCCTGCAGTCTTGCTGTGTCTGTCTGTGGGCCCCTGTCCACTGCTGTCTTCGGGGGTCTTGTGTTTTTGGGGGTCAGGTTATTTGAACCCGAACTGTGTAAATGCTGTTTCACTTCCAAGACAATCAGCCAAGACGTGCACCCGTGTGTGACTGTGCGTGTCTGTGAGAGTCGGCAGGTGTGTGCGCGTGTCGGTGCGTGCGGGTGCTTGTGTAAGAAGAAACTGTGTGTGGCAGACATGGAAATGCTCGGATAAAATCAATCTCAAAAGTGTATGCGTGTGAGTGTAGGTGTGTGAGAGTAACCGCGTGTGCGTCTGCGCGTGTGGGGCAAGCACCAGAGTGTGTAAGTGTCTGCGTGTGTGGTTTCTCTCAGTCAGAGGAGAGGGGCGCTGATGCCCCAGACGGCGGGCCCAGGGCTGACGCAGCACAGAGAGGTTTTGTGTTGCTGTGGACGAAGCACAGCCGAAATAGGGGTTAGAGATGGGTGTGAGCAGGGCCGGTGGTCACCCCCAGGCCCAGGTACCCTTTTCCGGCCCCCCAGGAAGACCGCAGCGCTTGTCCATGCTGTGGGGTGCAGCCTGAGCCCCCCACCTCCACCTGTGGGACCGAGGTGTCCACAGGGAGGGGCCCCTGGGCCCACCGGGAGACTCTTCCACACAGTGCTCAGCTGTTCAGCGCCTATGAGCCTCACTCTTGGGCTCCCCAAAAGCTTCAGCCAGGTGCGGATCACCCTGAGCGCCCACGAACTGCCCCCAAGCCAGCCCCGCTGACGGCTCAGCTGCTTCCTGGGAGACACCTGCGCCCCTCAGGACCCCAGGGAGGGACAGAGGCCTGGGCTGGCCGGGGCGGGGGAGCAGGGGGCCAGCACCGGGTGGGGGCTCTTGGGCGACATCCCAATTTCTCTTGAAATCGCGGGACGAGCCCGGCTGTCATTAAACTTCGCGAAATGAAGGCGCACCCGGACTCGCTGCCCGCAGCCTTTTGAACCCGGAGCGCGCCCGCGGGGGCACGGGCGGCGCCGACAACGGGTGTGGATTCGCGGGGCGCCCGCCGGGCAGACCCCGACTCATTTCCATGACAAGGGCCCCCGCGGCTCCCGCGCCCTCCGCGAGCGACTGTCTCGCGGCTGGACTCCCGGGGGCGGGGACCCCAGCGCCGCCCACGCCTCGGACCCGACCCGGGTGAGCTCCGGGCGCCTCGCGGCCCGCGGGTGTGTGCGCGCGTGTGTGAGCAAGTGTGTGCGTGTGCGCGTGTGTGCGCGTGGGGAGGGGGGCACAGAGTTCCCGGCACGGACAGAGTCCCAGACAGCCGCGACCAGCCCGGCTCCTCGGGTGCAGGTCCCGCTCCCCCGAGGGTCCCGGGTCCAGCTTTCCCCCAGGGTCCCGGGTGCAGCCCCTTCCCTAGGGTCCCGGGTGCAGCCCCTTCCGCAGGGTCCCGGGTCCGGCCCCTTCCCCAGGGTCCCGGGTCCGGCTTTCCCCCAGGGTCCCGGGTGCAGCCCTCCCCGCCAGGGTCCCGGGTGCAGCCCCTTCCCCAGGGTCCCGGGTGCAGCCCCTTCCCTAGGGTCCCGGGTCCAGCTTTCCCCCAGGGTCCCGGGTCCGGCTTTCCCCCAGGGTCCCGGGTGCAGCCCTCCCCGCCAGGGTCCCGGGTGCAGCCCCTTCCGCAGGGTCCCGGGTCCGGCCCCTTCCCCAGGGTCCCGGGTCCGGCTTTCCCCCAGGGTCCCGGGTGCAGCTCCACCCCCCAGGGTCCCGGGTGCAGTCCTCCCCGCCAGGGTCCCGGGTGCAGCCCCTTCCCCAGGGTCCCGGGTCCGGCCCCTTCCCCAGGGTCCCGGGTCCAGCTTTCCCCCAGGGTCCCGGGTCCGGCTTTCCCCCAGGGTCCCGGGTGCAGCCCTCCCCGCCAGGGTCCCGGGTCCGGCCCCTTCCCTAGGGTCCCGGGTCCAGCTTTCCCCCAGGGTCCCGGGTGCAGCCCCTTCCCCAGGGTCCCGGGTGCAGCTCCACCCCCAGGGTCCCGGGTGCAGCCCTCCCCGCCAGGGTCCCGGGTCCGGCCCCTTCCCCAGGGTCCCGGGTGCAGCCCCTTCCCCAGGGTCCCGGGTGCAGCTCCACCCCCAGGGTCCCGGGTGCAGCCCTCCCCGCCAGGGTCCCGGGTCCGGCCCCTTCCCCAGGGTCCCGGGTGCAGCCCCTTCCCCAGGGTCCCGGGTGCAGCTCCACCCCCAGGGTCCCGGGTGCAGCCCTCCCCGCCAGGGTCCCGGTCCGGCCCCTTCCCCAGGGCCCCACGTCCACCCTCCCGACCCCCCCTCCCCCCGGGGTCCCGCGCCCCCCAGCCCGCCCGCCCGCCCGCCGCGCGGGGCGCGCTCGCCGCTCCCTGGCCCTTTAAGGGCCCGCCCCCTCGGCGGCGGCGGCCCCGCCCCGCGGCCCGGGCGGCGCGGGGGGCCCGGGCGGGGATTGGCGCAGCGCGCGCCCCCTCGGCGGCCCCCGCGCGGTGGGAACCGGCGGCCCCGTCTGGCGCTGACGTCAGACCGTCTGCCCGCCGGCCCGGCCGCCAGAAACCCGATCTCCTTGGCCTTGAATGAGGAGGCGGCGGCGGCGGCGGCGGCGCGGGGAAGCAGCGGCGCAGCTCGGCCCCCGCCCCGGCCCGGCCGCCCGCGCGGCCCCCGGACGCCGCCCGCGCGCCCCGCCGACGCCCCCGCGCGCGGCCCCGGCGCGGCCGGGGGGCGCCGGGCCGCGCGGCCCCCGCGCCCGGCCCGCCCGCCCGCGGCCCCTGCATGCGCCGGCCGCGGCCCCCCCCGCGCCGCCCGCGCGCCCCCCCGCGCCCCGCGCCCCCCGCGCCGCGCCGCCGCGCCGCGCGCGCGCCGCTTGATGGGGGCCAACGCCACCGCCGCCGCCGCCGCCGGGCAGCCCAATGTCTCCTGCACGTGCAACTGCAAGCGCTCTTTGTTCCCGAGCATGGAGATCAGTGAGTGCGCCCGCCGCGCCCCGGGACCCGGCGTGGACCGGCTGCGCGCGGGGGGTGTGTCCGGCCGCCCGCGCGCCCGCGCGCCGCGCGCCCGCGGGGCGGCGGGCGGCGGGCCGGGGGCGGCCGCGGGCGGGCGGGCGGGCGGGGGGCGCGGGGGCGCGGGCCCGGCCGGCCGGCCGCCCATCCCCGGCGTGTCATTGTGTCCGTCCCCGGCGCGCCTATAAATAGCTCCCGTCTGGACCGCCCGGCCCGGCCTGGCGCGCACCGGGGTGGCCGGGAGTCAAAGTTTGGGCCGCCGGGCCCCGCGCGGGAGGTGGGCCAGCGCCGGGCACGGGCGCCGCCAGCCCAGCCCTGCCCAGCCCAGCCCTGTCCTGCCCCGGCCCGAGTGGGACCCGGTCGAGCGGAGCCCCCCGGCCGGCCCTCGGCCGGGTGGGCGCCCGGGCGCCGCGCCCCGAGCCCCCTCCGCGCCCCCAGCCCGCCCCTCCGGAGTGTCCTCGCCCCCTGCCCACCTGCGCGCCCCCCCAGCCCGTCCCCGCCGGCCGCCGGGTGCGCCCGGGCAGCGTCTGTCTCCGTGACTCATGCGCCCGTTTCCGCAGGCGGCTGGAGCGCTCCAGGGAGGCGCAGGGGGTGAAAATACGCCGGGGCGCCCCGCCGGGCGGCGGTGGGCTCCTGGGGGTCCCGGTCCGCCCCGCCCGGCCCGGTGCCCCCATCACCCGCAGGCGGCCGGGGGAGGCTGCTGCTGCCCCGAGCCGGCCTGGCGTTTGCTTGCGAAACTGAGTCGCGCTCGGCCAGATTTCTTCCCAGAGGGCCTGGTGCGCTCCCGGGCTGGTGAACGCAGGAGGTAGCTCCGAGATGTGTTTGCACTTGTTTGGGGAGTCTGGCCGCAGCTGAGCGGCTGGTGCGGTGTCCCCCCCCCTTTCCCCGTCAGCTGGCCGCAGGGGATTCCCTCCCCCCCTCGGCCGCGCTGTGTCCGGCTTGCTAAGTGGGCAGGCACAGCCCCTTGGCCCCCTGGCCATGTGTCTGAGGACTTGAAACAGCAGATTCATCCTTGGGCATTTGTGGGGGGACTGTGGTGTGCCCTGAGGTGGGGAGGGGAGGGGGCCCTTTCCCCTGCCCCTGGGTGCTGGCCGGCCTCACTGTCCCCGCAGGAGGAAACCGTCTATCAGCAGGTGGACTGTCCCCGTTGGCTGCTACCCAGGCTTCCGGGAATGCCCACCCGTCCCTGGGCAGGCCGGCAGGAGGGCGCTGCCTTGGCCCGGTGTTGCCACCTGCACGCTTGAGGGGGCTGGGGCCGGTGTCCCCTGGGAGGAGATGGGTCCTGTTGGGTCCCCGCCAGCCCCCGGGCCTCAGTTTCCCCATCTGGCTGTTGAAATCTGAAACTCTTTGGTGTTAGATGAGGGTCTGGCCACTGGCTTTGAAGTGGCTCCACGCCCCCGCCTTCTCCGCCTCCAAACAGTGCCGCCCTGTGTGCGGTCTTCGGGTGCCCGGGATTTCAGAAATGGGGGCACCTGGCCGCCACCCCCCTGCTAGCACCAGCTCAGGGCTCCTTTGGTTCTTCCCCTCGTTTCTGGTGGGGAAACCCGCCGTCTCTTGAACTCAGGACTGGGTCCTTGAAGGCGGAGGCTGGCGGAGGGAGCTGCTTGTTTCGCCGTCGGGGGCCTTTGGGGGGCCCGTGTTTTCGGAGACAGGGCTGAGGGGGTGTCTGTTTCGCCCAACACGTCTCGGGGCATCGTGCTGGAGGCGGCCAGGGCCTGGCACCGGCTCGGGCAGCTGGAGTGACAGCCGGAACGGGGCAGCCCGTGACTTTTGAGGAAAGACGGCTCCTGGCCCCGTGCCCTTGGCTCTGGGGGCCGGCCCCTCGCGCCCCCACCCCACCCCTGCCTTTCCTCTCGCTTCACTGGAGACGCGGGGGGCAGAGACGTGGGCCCCTGTCTGCTGCTGGCTCGGGGGGCACCTCCCCAGGTGCAGGCCGGCACCCCACACCCCCAGGTCCTCGTCACCCCGCCCCGCCAGCTCCAGACATCTGCTGGCAAACCAGAGACTCAGCTTCCAGTGCTCCCGGTCAGCTGGCTTTCTGCCCACTGTTTCTCCCGGCCCCGCGTCTCCGCCTCAGCCCTGGGCTGGATAATCAATCCCTCCCCGAGTGTCCTGTGTCTGGGAGGCGAGCATTCCCCGCGTCTGGCCCCTGGAGACCCCCCCTTCTGGCCGTGGTACCGCCCAGGGCCCGCCTGTCACCCCGGCTCGCGCCGGTCTCCGTGGCCAGAGCCGCTCTTTACCCTGTGTCTGGTTCCTCCGAAGGGGCCAGGGCTGCGCCCCAGGACTCGGGTTCAGCCTTTGCACCCCGTCCCCCCCCCGCCCGCCGGGACGCCAGCCCACAGGCTTGCCTTCTGCCTGTCTGGGTTTAGGCTGGGGTGCGGTCGGCTTGAGTTGCGTCTGGAACCGCGGGTCAGGCAGTTGGCCAAGGCTTCCCACGAGATCTGGGTTAAGCAGCTTCCTGGCCGTGGGACCTGCACCCGGGCTGAGCTGGCGACTGGCTCGTGCACACGTGCGTGCGTGCGTGCACACGGCCGCCCGTTCTCTCTCTCTTCGGTCGGGCAGGGTTGCGACTGGTGCCGGGCATGTACGTGTGCACGCGTCCGTCGCTGTGGGGGTGCCCTGGGACACCCTCCCCCGGAAGGGGCCCTACGAAGCTGGGGGCAGGAGGCTCCCAGGGAGGGCTGTGGATTGGGGGGCAGGGGGAGTCTTATCTTCCTGCATGCCCAGATCTCGGTGTTGCCTCCACATTCCGCCTGCTCAGGGGTCCTCACTCCCACCCCTCCGGCCTCCGCGGAGGCCTCAGGGTTTCCGGGTCCTGGTCTGGGCAGTTGTTCAAAGATACAGTGTCCCAGGTCGGGCTCAGCCTCGGGCCCACGTGCCCTTTTCTCTTCATTGTCATCCAGAAACAAAGTTGCAGGCAGAGGCCCTGGGAGCCTGCCGGGAGGAGGCCCTTTCCTGCCAGCCCTCGGTGCGTGCCACTCTGTGCTGCACGTGTGCCTGCATGGGGAGCGCGTTTGTGCCCGTGTGTGCCTGCCGGGCGGCTCTGCCCGGGCGGGGTCTGTCCCAGGAGTCCCTGGTCCGGAGGGCTGGAGCCTGGCAGCCCTGCCTGCCGCTGTGTTCCCGGCCAGGGTGCGGGCGTCGAGCAGCGGGTGGGGTCTGGCCACCTTCCGGCCGGTGTCCCCATGCCAGTCCCGGGCTGTGGCTTCTTCGGCCCCTCCCCCAGCTCACCACCAGCTCTAAGGGCCCCACTGTGCCCCTCACCCTCCCCCCCAGAGGGCAGCGAGGGGCTTGTCTCAGGCCTGCACCTGTGCCCGCCCTGCGGAGGTGACAGGCCCCTTGGGGGGGCAGGCACAGTCCCCCAGGGAGACTCGTTGGACAGGCGGCGGCGGGCCTGGAACGGTAGGGGGGCCCCCGGAGCCGCTCGCACCTGTTTCCAGGGAGACTGGTGGGGGTTTCGCTTCCGCCCCCTTCCCTCGTCAGCTGCGGGGGCCGTGTGTGTGCCAGGCCCCCGCGGCCGTGCCTGCAGGCAGGTCTGTGGGAACTGTGGGTGCTCACCAGGAGGCATGTGCGGACCAGAGAGGGGGAGACACCGGCCCTGGGTCACACTGCCACCAGGCCCAGGCCCCCGGTACTCCCCGCGAGACCGCGTGGCCGGGGTGTCTTTCAGAGAGCGACACCCACAGGTCTCTGGGCACAGGGCACCCCCCGGCCACCTTCCTCTCTCCACCCTAGCCCGCTGCGGGGGGCGCTGGTTGGGACGGGGGCAGGAGGCTGGGGCCTGCCCTATGATGTCCCGGCCTCTGGGCCCCCGCCAGAGTGAGGGCCAAGAAGAGCTCGGGCTTGTGGGGGACACCAGCCCCCCCCAACTCCGCTCACGCGGCTCACGGCTGCCCTGGGCTGGACACCGCCCTGCGGCCCCCGGGGCTCCCCCACTGATAGCATGGGCGGCGGGAGGGGATGGGGCGCCCGGGGCGGGGGCTGGCATCCCTGCCGGCTTCTAGTTCTGGGGGTTCCTGGGGCTGTGCCCTGAGGCCCCTGCAGTCGTGACAACCCAGATCCCCTCTCCTTAGCGGGAAGGGACTGTCCCTCCCTCCCTCACAGGGGCTGGGGGTGGCGTCTCCACGGTGCCGGCCACTGCCCCCTCGGAACGGGGAGGCAGGAACCCTCAGTGAGTGGGTACGGCCACTGTCACCCTGAAGTGACACGGACGGGACATGCCCGGCTCAGGGTCTCTGCAGACCCCCAGAGACCGTGTTCTCAGGTCTGGCTTTGGGGACGGGAGGGACGTGCCACCTTTGGGGGTCGGCGGTTCAGATCGCAGCCTTGTCAGCGCTAAGAAACCGCACGTCTCTCTCGGAGCTGCCTGCAGGGATGTCGCATCTGGGATGTGAAGATTCACTGAGATGTGGGGGGACCCCCCCTCCTGGTGTCCCCGAGGCCTGGGCTCCCCGTGGCAGGCAAAATCTGGGCTTCCCAGACTCCGGGTGCAGTGGCCCGAGAAGGGGCACGAGTCCTTGCCTCTGCCTCCTCTGGGCAAAGCGGCTGCTATTGCTCCCGTCAGGCGTCTGAGTCCCGACTCCCGTCCCCAGCCCCCATGACTGTGACCCTCTCTGCGGGCTGCCAAGGGGTCGGTCCCCTGCAGCCCCGGTGCCTCCCCTCTGCCCTATTTCCCTGACAGCGGTGCTCTGGGGTCTCACGGGGGTCTGTCACCCCGGTCCACGTGCCTGAGCAGCCAGCCCCTGCCCTCGTCCTGTGGGCGTTGCACCCAAGACTCTTCCCCGAGGAGCCGCAGAATCTGCACGCGGCCACCGCACACACGGCTGCTCCCGCGGCCTGAGGTTGGGCGAGCTTTGATGGGAAATCCCGACCCGGACGGCAGTTGGAAAGACCCGAGGGGGTGATGGGGACCGTCCGGTTCCAGACCCTGCTCCCGGGACGGCTCCACCCTTGCACGCGTGCCAAGC